TAACCCTCTGCTGATCGCGCACGGGGCGGCGGGGTGTATATTTTGACGTCCAGGATTATACAGTGAGCTACAGTGAGCTGCATTGAGCACAACCGGTGACCGAAGGCTCGATTAAATATTCATACGCTTGGTAATTGCTCGATCTGCGATTCGAAATTGTCTCGATGGCGGAAAGAGAGAAAAAATAAGCATATCTCGCATCGATAACGTAATCGCGCGACACGTTTGTGATCTTTATATTCGTGATCTGACTCTTAACCGGAGAGCTCATTATCATTAAAGGGATCGACGTTTGACAAATAAATTAAATTATGGTAATACTGTTTTTCAAAACATTTCTCATTACGTTTTATTATTTCAAAAATAGCTTGCCGTCGTCGTGTTTCGCAATACTATATTTTGTTTTCGCAAACAGCTTTGTAAACAATATACAGAATGCGCAAATATTGACAGATACGTGGAAGAAGTTCAAATAATAATTGCGAACCAATGCTCGAATGCTCCGTTATCATTATCCATACCTTCAACATTGTCTATTAATTGCGGAAGTTAAGGCATTTAATTATAGAATTCGACTTTTAATTTTTTTTTAATCTCATTCTTTTTCAAACAGAAAGTTTTAATTATAAAAACCTTTTAATTAAATCCTTTTACATAATAATACTAATTCGAGGTAACTTATTAATAGTGAGAATTTTTACATTTGTGCCGAGTTAAAATAAAGGAATAACAAATGAAACATAATCGAATTACTGCAGGAGATATTACATATATATATGTGTATATATATATATATATATATATATATATATATATATGTGTGTATTCTCATTTGAGATTCTCAATTGAATGTTTCATACATGCTAGTGCATATTTCCAAATATTGTCTGAGAAGATTTAATTGAACAAAGATATTAAGAAATTAAACGTTACTTGTTGAAATTTAATGCGTAATGCCTTCTTAGACATTCGAGAAATCCGCGATACTAAAGTTTGTTCACGGTGTACAATATACGGTCGCATTCTATTCCGCCACCTAACACCATCATCTCGCTCGTGGTATAAACGAAATGGCGAGAAATAAAACGCCTTTTCAGATCCCTTTATCTCGTTAATCTTGTCACGCTTTACGCCTTCGAGATACAAAGCATAACAGGAGGCAGAAGAGAGATATAGTGAGAGAAACGCGAGAAAACGATAGAAAAGGTCCTCATTGCACGTTCCTTTAGCTACCCAAACTTGACAATGTCATGACCGATAAATAAGACTCGCAATCTTTTCCGCCAGTCAGGACACAATGGAAGCAAAAAATCGTGAGGCGTATCAGGTGCGGGACAAGATTGCAACAGGGAAACTTACACCTGGTGCGCTTGGAAATTCGACTCCGGTTTACCCCGATGCGGTCAGACGTGGGGAGATTTTCCCGATATTTTTCCAGATTTTCTCCCAACACTCTCTAGTAAGTACACATGTTCGCGAAACGAAACAAACATATCGGACATATTGATGTATGTACATATGTACGAGTGACTCATTCGTAATTCTTTCGATTTACAAATGATCAAGTTGTAAAAAGAATAACGATCTATCAATGATCTGATTCAATGATTTGATTCAACTAATTTAAAATATTTAGATAATGACGATAAAAAGGATTTATTTTTATTTTAAAAACACGCGATTTTCATTGTCAGCTTCCGCTTTCAGCGGAATGTATCTCGACATAAATTTGATTCTCGTTGAAGAAATATTTGCTCCGAAATGCAAAAAAAAAATTCAAACAATTCGTGTCGATGTGAGTTGCAAACGGTACCACTAGGTACGATCGCTCACGTTAAAGCAAACCGTTCGTGTTTGATCGCGCTCGTTCGTTTGATCTGGATATGGTGTTACACGCATTACACGAGTGCCTGACGAGGACCATTGAACGAGACGTGAAAGAAAAAAAATTAATTACCCTTAATAAGAGCGTTCGCGTTCGCGAGTGTTCAGGCGGTTCTAATAGCGATGCCAGAACGCGTGATACGTCGCGTTGCGTGACTCTGATGCTTATCGAATCAATGACAACGCGTGCGTGCGTGCGCAACGCGCGCACGAATAGCCACGATAAGAGCCGATAATATAAACGGGCAATCTCATCCCCCATTCACTGGTCCACTCATTAGCGGACTTAATTTAAGATACGTCATCGTCAGAATTTTAAACACGGTAAACATTGACGCGATTAACGTAATCATCGAGTCCCGGTTTGTCCCAGCGCGAAGGAAAAACTAATTAATGACACGAGGAAAACTAATTAATGATCACGTTGTGTTTATGAAGGCGAGGCATCATGACTCGTCCCCCTTTTTCCACTCTGATCATATTATTTTACAAAAGCGCTCAGCATGATTAAAAGGCACGTGCGTGTGCAAAAAGAATTTCGATAAACGCATCTCGCGCGCTCTACTTCATTACTGCGTTCGACCACAATTACGGCACGGAACGCTTCGATGTTTGCAATTCGCGGTTGCAACAAACTTTGTACACACGGACTGATCCGGACATTTTCTCCCTCCAAAAAATTTCGCGTAAAACTCGCGGTCGATTTTTTCTTTGTAAAAATTGACCCGCAAAAGCCAGACTATTACCAGCTTTCAATTTGCTGACGCTATGTATCTTGACAATTGTGCTTCAAATTAAACTCCTTTTCAATTAAAATCCGTGAAAAATCGGCCGTGAGCAAGATATATCTATCTAGAAATGGAAAATTTTTCAATTAAACAAAAAAACCAGTACGCTTTTCAACTAGGATGCTGCTGTTTATGACTGAAAGATCACCAGTCTGCACTCACAGAAGAGATAAACAATAGTAATGGCAACGTTAGCAACTATAAAAGTGATACAAGTTTTGTATGTAGAATTAATGTACATTATTGCAATAATTATAAAATAGTTTATTCGACTATATTATATATGTATTGTACATTCTAACACTATAATGTTATTAATTTTAATAATGTGTTGAAGAAACTATTTTAAAGTTATTTATTGTAACTAATTATTCAACAAGAGAGAGATTATAGGCTTTGATAAAGTAAATCAATAAATGAGAAATGTCAATAAGAGCCACTTGATGTTGATGTATTCGACTTTATTCTATTTTTATAATATAATTACCCATAATGTACGTGTATCCAATATAATATTCCAAACGTTTCGATCCTCTTCAGTGTAATAATTTATTAAACCATTAAAAGACGACCATTATCAGATCTATCTATAGAGATTATCTTACGACAAAATTATTAACGTACATTACGTTCAATATCGATGTTTTTAATACAATCTACAATCTAACAGTGAAACGCGACGTGTATAAGACTAATTACCAACTTCTTCATCCACACAATTATCATCAAATTTCCAGACTTATTAGATAAAATAATTTTTGGGTGATTACTTAATAAATAATAATTAAGCATTACAAGAAAACTTACATGACGTACTATGTTGCTAGTTGGACAGTTACAGACCAAATGAGGATCGTTCGCATACATAAATTACACTATCAACAATATTAAAAAATATTAGAGAGAGATGGAAACATCATACTATAGATAATAGATTTGAGTAAACCGGGTCTAAAAATTCAGTGTTTCGTTTTTTAATCCTCACGGTGTAAACGGGAATCATTTGTGTCGCTCAATTTTGAATATCCTCAGCAAAAAAATGACACCCATTATTGAGCTTTCACGGTCACCTTATCCCATCTCACAAGTTTTGTTTAGGAGCAGAACGGTACTCAAATGTTTTCAAAATATCTATTCATAATTTTAAAAAATTATAACAGTACCTATACAAGTTTTATATTATTCCCTTACTTCAAAAGAGTGACACAACTCAAAAAATTGACAAAGTGTCATCGTGAGACAATGTAAATACACAGTAAGTAACGAAAAGGCCTTACCAGTCTAAGATAAATCTCAATATTTAAATAATATAAAAAAATTAAGTTCCCTGAAAAGGTGAAAAAAATTTTCATCATTTAACTATGTATGTACATAGTTAAACTATGTACATTAATCTTACATATAAAACTCGCATACACTTTTATATTTGCCATCTATGTCTTCTTCTCCGAGTGTGAGTTATTTAATATATGTGCTGTGCATTCGTGTAACAAAGTCTTGCTTAAAGAAGACATCTTAAGAAACACGTACGAGGAACTGTATTGTCAAGGAAATTCCAACATCTCAAAGACCATTGCAATTTTAAAACAACATACGTGAACCCGCTTTCGACGTGGTTCTTCGATTATCAATTATTCCCCGAAGTCGATATCGAAGTCACGGCGGCTTTCAGTTCTTCGACATGCAATCACGAGTCTAGGAAGAACACTCGGTTCTATTAGATTCAATTCATTCATCAGCTGTGTCTCCTACATCTTGTAGGAATATAAATAGAGTAATGATAAATACAAAGAAAATATATAACGAAAATGAATCCGATATACACTTTTCACATGTGATATTCTTGTGCCTTTTAATTTCTAAATAACACAAGTGATTCCAGAGGGTATATATTATTCTTATTAAGCGTACAAAGAGAGTATGAATCACATTGTATGATTCAAAAAGCGCTCATTACAATGAATCACATGTGACTCACTGTCGGCAAACTTTGCTGCACTCATTACGCATACAAATATTATCATCCAACTGATCGCGCGTCGCGTGCAATGTTGAAGATTGAAATTGTAACTCGGAATAGCGAAGTAACTCGCGATCGTAGCAAAAAGCTCACAGAAGTCTTTCTCTCTCTCTCTCTCTCTCTCTCTCTCTCCTCCCTTCCCCCCTCCTCGTCGTGGTCCCACGTGAGTTCGCAAAGTTTCCCACGCAGCTGCAACTACAGCTGTGCGGGTTGAAACTCTATGGGGGTGAGACTTTCTAGATCCCATAGGGTCCACTTGCGCGCCGCGCAATCGTCCTCCCGCAACCGCAATCTGAAATCTTTTACAGGCGTCGTCGTCGTCGTCGTCGCCCTACGCATGACGTCCCTGCAGATACCGGAGCACGTCGTGCTGAATGAGACGGTGCGCATGCAGTGCAACTTTAACTTGGACAAAGAGCTATTGTACTCCGTGAAGTGGTACAAGGACGGCCACGAATTTTATCGCTATACGCCCAGAGACGCGCCCATGGTGTTAACGTTCCCGGTGCCTGGCGTAAACGTAAACGTGAGTGCGAGTTTGCGAATACCTACTAGGGATACTTAGAATAGCGCCGAATGGAGTTCTGACCTTCTCCGCACGATAGCGAGAACAATCAGTCTTCAACAATTATCCTCTTATAGAGCATAATATTCTGACGTTTATGTTAATTGGGGTATTTTACATACCTATAATTAGTTTAAATATTTAAACGCTATCGAGAATAATAGACGGATAAAAGTATCGATCCTTTGTCAAATTTAAGCATCTCTATAGTGACATAATATTTATTTAATCACTTTAATGTTTAATTGAGATTAACGATGAATAAGCCACGTGATGCTCGAACGTGAAAGAAAATGTAAGTTTTTTTTTTAAACGTAAATAAGTAAAAGAGGCTATATTCAGTCAAAGCGGATCTTGATGCTTATAATATATAATATCTGTGGATCTCAATTTCGAATTCGAGCCCGCGTTTGCGTCGATTATTATTTATAGGTCTTGAAACGGAGTGAAACATAATTCTAAATTAAAGCTGGAATATAATGTAATATCAGAAGTCAAATTGACAAGCAATTTAATAATGACAGAGATGTTAATAACCCAAATAGTAAGATATTATCATTATAACGACGATTTAATGTCATTTAAGTTATATTTAATAAATAAGTAACGGATAATATTATTAATTTCTATCTTTGTTATTAGGTCATAAGTATCATCGAGTAAATAAGTATACAGTTATTTACTTTTTGCCTACAAATTACTCAAAATTTTGTAATTTACTACGCAAATTTTGTCAATAACATCGTATACAGCGCGAAAAATTTTTGGACCAAACTTTATATAGTCTATTTAAGTTTTGCGATTTTTTTCTCATTTTTTACTAAGTCCAAAATAGTAAATAATGATTAAATTTAAAAGAGAAAACATTTCTGAATATAAAAAACATTTTTAAATATTTACATAGATGTGAATATTTTAAGAAAAAAAATACGTTTCCCTCTTTTTTATAATAATAATAATAATATTATTAATAAAAAAAAAAGAAAAATGGAAAATGGAAAATGAAATAATCCAATATTATTTTTATAAGTTTACTAACATATTGATATGTTGATTGACATGTTGATACGTTGACATATTGATATGTTGTTGATTGATATGCAAGAATATACAAAGTATTATTTTCAAAACAACTGAGCTATCTGTAACTCATTTAATTATCTACTTATCTAATTATTTACACAATGTTTAGCAAGTAAATTAAATTTCATGAATGGGAATAATGAAAGTATTAAAAAAACGTTACAAAAATGTGTGTAAATTCAGTATATCTAAATTGGCGTATTGGTTTTACCTTTCTCTCTTCTAATCAAACGTTACGGCAAAAATATAAACAAAATACAGTGTTGTAAAGTATAAATACAGAACAACAACTACAATAAAATAAATCACGGAAATTAATAACCCTTTCTTGATAGTTATAAAATTAGTTATTTACGAGATATTATATTACGACCACGACGTTTTACATTTTGCTTTACTGGCAATAACAGAATAAACAAACTGAGCAATAAACTGATGCAATTGAGTCAGACGGACAGCCTTGCACGACTTACTTTTGCTGTTGAGGTCACTGTGTAATTACACACAAACAGCAAGTAGAGCACAGTGGGTACTACCAGAACATATAAAGTCCGGGTTATTTTATGTTATAATTCTTCGGAAAGACGTATTTTAAACGTATTACTTATTCCACAGAAAAATAAGCTACCTTAACTTACACAACGTATCATGTATTTCTCATTATAAATATAATGTCATTGATCTTAGAACTATTCTTAGGACTAACTTTGTTTTAACGTCTTTTATAAGTGATTTTAAGTCTTTTATTGTGATTTTGATGATAATATTGACTCGCAAAGGCGTTATATTGACAACACCTTGATAGGAAAGCGTTTCTTTAAAATGAAGTAAACAATTCATTGTGAAAAATATCGAGCGCACAACTGTTATTCAAACTAGAAATTGTAAGATTCACGCAAAAATATTATTGCAAGTACCAAGATCCGCTTTGGTTGAATATAGCCTCGTTCATTTATTATTGTCTTGATGTCATTTCTCGGTCAATTTTTTCATTTATTACAGATTATTTTTTAACTTCTCTTTTTTCGTTTGCGTTTAAGCTAGAGGCACAATGCACTTTGTATATCTCGCACGGCGAGAAGCTTTTTGTTCGAATCTGATAGAATCTGATTAGTTCATTGCGTGGTGCATCGCGTCACACTCGATCGGGCGCAGCAGCTTGTAATCGCGAATTTGCATTCAGAGGGACGAGTCCACCGAGAGTTCGGTTGTCTTGAACAACGTGAATCTGACGAGCTCGGGGAGGTATCGATGCGAGGTGTCGGGCGAGGCCCCCGCCTTTGAGACGGTCTCTGATCACGGGGACATGACTGTAGTTGGTAAGTATTGTCATGGAAAGTAAGAGCGAACGTGTGCGATTAAGCTGGGATTGTACTGAAAATTCTGTAGAGACTTGGAAGCAGTTCTTTTTAAGTCCCGCGATTGTATTCAAATATCGATGTTATCGACAAACAGAAGAAAATCTTTGAAATCTTTGAATAATCTAAAATAGACCGAGGAAGTTTTTATTCTTAAAGTAAACTGCATTAGAGCGACGGTGATTATTTTAACGTAATTTGCGAGAGACAAAACTAGATAAATGAATACGTACAGTAAATGCGCGTGGCGAGATAAGGAGAATCTAATCCGAGGGTAGCGACAATAGTACTAGAAAGGGTCATGGCAACGTTTCAGTTCTACCTAACGAAGGACCGCAGATAACCGGTGGTCGTTCCAAGTATCAAGTCGGCGATGTCGTTCACATGAACTGCACGTCGGCACCTTCTAAACCACCTGCGCTATTGTCTTGGTTCATCAACGACGAGCCGGTAAGTGAGACACTTAAAACGTCGGCGAAATAATTATAACCTTTGTTTCACGCTCCGCTAAACTTTTTCAACCGACGCGATGAAATGTGTACTTAAAAAGAAAGAGAGATGAAAAGGGAGAGGAGAGGAAAAGAGAGAAAAATGAAGCGCAACGAAGTTGCCGTATATGCAATTTGTTAAATAAATCAAAGCTTTGTTCCGCTCTGTTTTCATCACAAAGACGCGTATGCGCGTCGCGCGCGTGTCCATTTGCGTTAATCTCGAAAAATATTCTCCGATAATGTTCTAATTTAAAATTTATTTTGATAAAATACCAGTCAGCGTTCCCAATTAAAGGTGAAACGTCGACTGTCTCTCGTGTCAACATTGAATATCGATTTCAAATCCATGACATTTATGTATTTTCCATTTATTCGATCCCGTTTATGTGTCGTTAATATTTACGGAACTCTCCGGGTCTTTTTTTTTTAGAAAATTCGTTACCACGTTATATTCCAGTGAAATTTTCCGCCCTGCGGACGCATAGCTTAACCGAATTAAAGATTAACTTTAAAATAACTTTGCCTGCACGTACAGCGCGCGCGCACGCGTTGCTGATGAATGTTATTATCATTATCGTGCAATAATTAGAATCTTGCTTCGGTGCTTCATGCAATTTCGCGTAATTGGTTTCACGAAAAAAATTTGCATCCGGGATCAAAAGAGCGCAATCTCTCGTTCTTAATTGTTTTCAAATTGCATTCTACAGAATCGCGTATCTGTTTTCCATCTCCCGCCTAATTGGTGCCGTCGATGCTGCGTAACCCGGATCGCGAGTCTACGTTCTAAATAAAAATCTATCTAATTGCTCAATCCCAATCCTCTGCCCCGCACGGGACGTTCATCGCAACAATCGATCACGCGCACTGAGAGAAAAAGAATAATAGATGGAATTATATAAATATAACTCTGTACAAGTTTCACTTGTTTATAATGTACACATTGAACATTAATTCTAAATAAAACTTGTATAGTTAGTTGTCACTTGTAAAATTGCCATCACAGATTTGTTTCTGAGTGCGAAATGTCACGATGCTCTTAAAAATAGTCTTCATACGGATCGTAAAAACACAACACGCTTTCAGGTTAACACCGACTACCTGATAGGGCCCAATGTTGTCAACGAAGGGAATGGCCTGGAGACCGCGAGACTCGGTCTGAAATTCCGCGTCGCGAACAAGCACTTCAGGCGAGGCGACATGAAGCTAAAGTGCTTGGCCACAATAGCCACGGTCTATCTACAGAGCAACGAAGAGAGCGTGGAGGGCGACGAGAGCATTCTGAAAACGCCTATAATGGAGAGTCGCGAGACCCGGGCACAGAGCCACACTCGCGAGGATCTGACGAACGGTAAGCTTCTCCCCGGATATCATCCGTTACTTTCCTACCTATATCTATACCTATACCACAATTGTGCAACGTTTCCCCCATTTTATCGATTAACCCTCCCGCGAATGCTGAATTCAACTTTTACCTTGTCTAAAAGTTGGTAGTGCAAGTTAAAATAATTAAGGTCCAGTTGCACCGACGTTGATTATTGGTATAACCGTAATTAGCGGAATCGTAGCTAGTCCTGTAGTTTCGTTACGGAGGATAAAACGTTATACGTTCAATTAAAAAGTTATTTCCCTCTCCCGCTGTTACTTTCCGTGTCACTTACAATTTCTCTCGTAACGCGCCCTTCTCTCCCTCCCCCTCTCTCTCTAGAGGTGCTTTCGCACCCTCGCGATTTTTTAAACCCCTTCAAATCTCTGATGATGAATTATCGATTACAAACAGGGTGCGGACGATAAAAAATTCACTTAGGTCAAACTTCTCGCAGGGAGGAGGGTTATAAATCTCCAATACTTGAAACTCATAAGATTATTCCGATGTCGGATATACTGAGGAGCAATTGTTACGCGCTCATGCCAAAATATTATGGCGTATTTTTTTATCCCTTTTTTTTACACTCGACCAATAGATTTTTTCCGAGTTTACTCCGATTGTCATAATTTCGTAATTGCGCATACAGGTGTAACGTGTTTAATTAATCTACTGTATTAAAAGACTTTTTTAATTTTCGCCGGTAATATTTTACAACCTAAATCATTTACCCAAATATATCTATATATTTTCAACGAATGCTCGTCGATGGCGAATTTATTGTAACCTACGGTACGGGCATCATTTTTACATATGCATTCATTGTACATATCATTAATTGTGATGACACTTAAAAACTATCCTGAACATTGTAATAATCTTGGAGAAAAAGATGGATAAAAAGAAAAGTCTACAAGTATTTTAACTATATATAATAATAAGATCACCAATCCAATTGCAGGAATTGGAAAGTTATTTTTTTTTAACTAGACTTTACAGATTCTCAAAAGTAACTTGTTACTTAATACATTACATTTATTGTTACTTAAAAAGTAACGATTCGTTACTTTTCTATTATTTGTTCATGCTGAAATAAGATTAATCTAAAAAATTTTGCAATATTTTTTATTTAAATATTAATAAAGATAATAAATAATAATAAGACACTGTAGATCAATACGTGAAAATATATCTAAGGAGGAAAATGCTTTTTCGGTCCGAGCTGGAGCTTGTTGTACATTGTAATAATATTTTAGAGTGAATTTATATACCTATGCATACCTAATTCTACAAATCATGCACCGATTAGATTTTCAGTCTTGAAACAATAATTTGATTGAGCTAATATTTTTCATAATAAATTTTGTAATAAGTGACATCACCTCTGTCAAATTTAAAGTATTCCTAATAAGGTTGTTCTTATGTAATACAGCTCTGTGATATTGGTTTACGGTTACGATATTTATTGAACTAAGAATAAATTATGATTCCCAAAGATTGAAAATTGAAATATAAAAAATTACAATCAAAATATAAAAAATTATGTTATAAATAGATGTAAACATAAAAAGTAACCATAAAATTCGTTATCAAAGAAAGATAATTCCGTTACCAGTCCATTGTCAAAAAAAAGTAACTGTAATGTTACAAGTACCGAATTATTTTTAATTCCTGACATAAAATTAATGTACCTCACACATTACATTGATCTAACACTGCTCTGCGGTTATTTTAGCTGTTGATATTTATATAGTTTTAATCTACTCTTTATGTTTGACACATAACTTGTTATCTCTATACCCGGATGGCTCGTATCTAATAAAATAAGCGAAGTTCTTCATTTACTACAATCAAAATATCAATTGTGTTTTAAAATTTAACTTAACTGGTTGGGAGTTATTTGTTTCCTAGTAAACGGCATTTTAAAACACGACGACATTTCTATAATATTACACGAGGGAAATTTATTTTTGAATATCGAAAAGCCTGGTCGCAAGTAATGAGAAGTATCGGATTAAAGCCCTAAGTATTGAAACGAATCCTTGTGGCCGTATATGCGGCATTAATCACAACGGGAACTAATTACTCGATGCTTTAATCCGCCATAGAGCTATCGCCGGGGTCTCGCAATAAAAACTGATTAATTACAGCCACACTGTATTCAAATCCCGAATTAAATTACGGCAAGAACGAGGCTCGGGCTTCACGAAATGAATACGTGGGATATAATTCGGCGTCCGTTAAATTAGCCATTTAAAGGATGCACATCGCAAATTCGCTACAATCCTCTGCAGGTAGAGACTCTGTCTTATGCGAGTGCATCGTCAACAACTGTATTAGAATAGAATAGAATATTTACTACTTCAGTTTATATGTCAAGAAGAGGTTTAATTTACAATTTCTTCTCTTAATCTCTACGTAATTAATATCTTGTGATATTATTTATGGCAATTAATAGCCAATAATCAAATCTTATTACTATTATCTAAACCTATAGTCTTTTTTCATCTTTTGTATTCTAAGTATCACAGTTTTTTTAATCATACTTACACTAATTTACATTAATATCACATTTAAGTACTCAAATATTACATAGTTTTCATGTAAGCTAGCATTATTTTTTTCCTTATTCTCGTGTCCTTCTGTATCTATCCTAATAATTACTTTTTTCGTATCTATTTATCCCATGCTTAAATCCCTATCCTTATCCTCCTTCCTCTTCATCTACGAATCTTTATTTTTGAACATTTTGTATAAATATATTTTTCAATTTTTAATATTTTTAAAAAATTTTATCAGTGATCCAATTTTTCAATGTCAAAAGAGAATTTCGATGTCAAAGCTCTATAGCCGAACCGAGATATTTTTATTCTCGTGAACAAAGGCAATTAGCGACTTTTCAGAAAAAAAAAATAATAGAGAGGGAAGCTAACGAAAGTTCGTCTTTAATGTTCCAGGATCCACAAGTGTTGCAGTCCAATGGACGATCCTCATCGTCACTCTGATCACATCGATCGCAGTCGCGCGATAATAATGACGAACGTTTCTTTTTCCTTTTTTTTTTCTTGTCCCCTTTCTTTTCTTTTTCCACGTTGCTTCCTAATCATGTAAACGTTAGGAGAGATCGGTTTCACCCTATCTACTACTAATTCCTAATTCGCATAAAATAAAGCGATACCAATATGCATATAATAAGTGTACACGTCCATTTACACGTCGTCGTGGCGTACGATAAAATTTACAATTAGAGTAATTATCCCTCTTAATGTGTCTTTAAGCCAACTTGTTTCATTACTAAATTAATTATTAGATATTATAGTTTTAATCTTATCTGCTTGAAATCAATAGGTATCAGTTTTTTAATATTTCTTTTAATTTTTCTTATAATTTGTTTTTAATCTAAAACTTCCTCTTTTATAAAAACAAAAAAAAATGTTTTTTTTCCTATTAGTGTCCTATTAACGTTGTTACTCAAATTGCTTATCCGCATTTGACTCATTTTATATAATTACTAAAACAAATAATAGATATAATCTAATTATCTAATTGTTTAAGTTAATATTGCGTAAATTATTATTTTAATTATACTTTCAATGTACACTCACAATTAAACGTTCTCAACTCTAATACAAAGCACACTAATAGGGACAAACTTAAAATATTGCTGTATCACTGAACTCACAAAAATTCTTTATATCTCTCAAAAAAATATTTACTATATTTTAATAGTTAAAAAATAAAATATTAACTTTGGTATCGTGTACATTAATAATTTAACTTAATAAAAAAAAATACTTTTTTTTTATTCATTCGTGCTTTTCTTTATGGCTTATTTAAATACAAAGACACATTTATAATGACACAATAGGGATAGTTACCCTACAAACGTGCGCTCTAGGCTCTATAAATGTATTCTCATGCGCGCGCAAGACGAACGATCGGCTGATCGACTCCCCGCGCGTTCATTTAGATCGTCCAAAATCTTTTTAGCGGGAAACGTCGCAGAAGACGACGTCTTTTGTATATCGCTTTCGAGATACGATTTGATGTTATTCTTACTACGATTTTTACAAAGTTTTTCTATTTTCACAACATATCATTTTTATTCATCCAACGATCGCGTCCACGCGCGACAGCCGGATGACGATCTTCCCAAAACCAAATAGTCTTCTTGGGCCCAGCTTGGACCCCGCGAATACGCTTTCATTGGAATCGCTATTGTCTATTTCCTACATCCACCCTGCATCTCAGCGATTTGTCTATACAAAACAGAATTAATAATTATAGTAACCACAAGAGCAGTCGCGAGTGATTTTTTTATGCTCACAAACGATCGACAAATCATCTGTATACAACTTCAAAAAAAAAAAAAAACTGAAGATTTATTCATATGAGAAATTATTTCGTAAAATTAATAATTAATGTCTAATTTGATTTCGATAATTTTAGATATCTAACCTCACAAAAATTAATTTACTTTGCAATATGCGGTAGCAACAAAATTTTTCTCGTTTCCATTTTTACCGTTTCTTTCGACTATTTTATTAACCATGGTTGCGTTTCATTATTCACTGCGAGTACTGAAAATCTATAGTTCACGTTACATACTAAAGGTGTATAGATGTGTATGTATAGATTTTCAGTACTCGCAGTGAATAACGGAACGCAACTCGTGTATCAGGGATTGCGCACAATCATAGGAACAAAGAACAGAGAATAAGAATTCAACTTATCAGAAACTATATTCCGCAATACATGATTACATATGCGAATGTACATATCCTTTGTGAATGTATTTCTTTAATTTCTAGTAAGTTTCGGTCGGTAAAAATAGCTGAATATCGAATGCTGCTAAGAAAAAGCAACATCATAACTGACTGCAGATGTCCATATCAAAGTAAATTATTATATCAAAGTAGATTATTATAATAGATTAAGGGGATCCTAAAGAGTCATCTGTTTTATCGCATAAATTTTAATGTTATCATGGGTATCTAGACCCTCTAAGGAACGTTTGTGCCAAGTTTCAATAACTAAATTTTACGAATTTTCAAAAAATTTTTCTTTTATACATAGTCTTTTTGTAACACATTTTCGTCGAATTGAATGTCTAAATTTAAGCACGGAAAAATGGGTGAGAGTAAATTTTACTTTCATAATCCGCTTTTTAACAATCAGCTCGGTGTCAAAAAACTGGTGTCTACATAAGGATTCGGACTAATTCTAAGCTCGATGTTGTTTGTTCATGTAAACTACTAGTCTGATAGATTGCAAAGTTTTTATATCAAGCAAATGTTGCCATGATAAGAATAGCTCTAGACGTCACAAAAATTTTTTTTTCCTTTTTCAGCACAAACTCCACCTCATGGACATGTATTAATGCATATATTTTAATTCTGGAAAAGGATTTTCAAAAAAAGTAAAAAGAAATTACGATATTAAATTATTGCATTTAGTCAGACATTTCCTTAAGAGAATCCTAAAGTCGTTTGTTTTACCAACGCAATAATTTTTATATAATAATTACTTTTTTTTCTTCTTTCACGTGTCTGTGAGTTTATACTGAAAACGAAAAATATTACTTGAATTGAGATTTTCTTTATCATTTCTTAGTCCAATATGGCGTTAGAGCTATTAGTATTGTAACATTTGCGTGATATAAAAGTTTTATAATCTGTACTTACGAAATTGTATCACAGACAACGTGGAAATCTTAGAATTAAACTTACAATTAAACGGCTAATTCTAAAACGTTATTGTTATTCCACGTTATTCCATAAAAATTTATGTATATGTGTACGTGCGATATTGATGTAGTAGTGTATAAAGATATCAATGTGTCGCAATTTATCAGACAATAACGCTCTCGTTGGTGTTTAGGCTTTACTTTAGAATCCCCTTAAAGGGTTACGCCTAGTCACGAAGTCGAAAAAAAAAAATTTTTTGTAAATTATTTGTTTTTTAAATGTATATACAGTTTTGTATAAAAGTTTTTGTATTTAAAAGAACTTTTCTTGACAAGATTTTTATATTTTTTTTTATGCAAAAATATTAATTTATAATAAAGTCATAACAAATATTTGAAAAGCCGCTTTTCGAAAAGCATTTTGTGATAAGCAATGCTAATCGACCATTAAAAATAAAAAATTCAAAAAGATTTAGTTAATATATGAGTTTATCTATGCTTTAATCGATCAATATTTCGATAAATTAAATTGTTCAACAAAATGGAAGTTGTTCAAAGTTATATATATATATATATATAACCGATTTTTATTTAAAAAATAGATATCTTTTAGTCCATAAAATAAAAAGTACATATTAAAAAAAATCTTTCGATTTTTAAAGATTAGATTTTAATATTTAAAGAAACACAAAGTTAGAAATAAACTGGTGCAGCGATTCTTGAGATATCTTGCTCACCAACTTTGAAAAAATAGTTTTGAGGAAAACTCGTTTGAAGTTTCAAATGCAATTTAAATATTTTTCAACTTACAGAGTTACATATTCCAGGCCCATATAACACATCATATACTTCTAAAAAATATGATTTCTGAAAAATCGATTTTTTCAAACATTTCTGGATAGGCGTGCATTGTTTAGTACCAATCAAATGCTATTATATTATTTTCAGATACAATAATCTTTTTATTGTTTACCATAAAATTATAAATCCTTTTTCACAATTAAAGTACAGACAATAATGTAATGTGGACTGAATGATTTCATGTGGAAAATGAAAAAATTGCATTTTTTATTATCGGTTTCTAGTGTCGACTCATAACGACATTTGCTTTATACAAAAGCTTTATACTTTATACGTATAAAATAATGTAATTTGCAATAGAAATTAAATGAAAGAACAATACTATGCTTGTAGAAATAAGTTAAGAGCTTTACAAAAGAATAGTATGCCTGAAAATTTGTGAATATAGATACATACAATATTGATGTAGTATTTATCAATTTAATAGAACTTAGATTCAGAGCCATATAGGCTTATATTCTGAATCCTTTTTTATCGATAAAACTTTTAAGAATATACATAGTATCTGTAACATAACTTATATGCTTAAAAGTGCCTTTATCGATAAAAGAGGATTGAGAATATGAGCCATATAATTTACGCGTCACTGACACATCATTACACACCACTACATCAATATCACGCACACATGCACAAATATTCTGATTAACTAATTTTTCATATTAAATATCTGAGCTTAATTCTAAAAACTCAACATTGTTTATTTATGTAATCCCTAGTCCAAATCAATATTGTTTTATACATACGAAGTATAAACTTGTATATAAAACAAATATTATTACGAGTCGATGTTATTATAGAAGCCGATAACAAAACTGTAATTTTTCAACTTTTTCTCATTTTTGACATCGATCGGTTTAGACTACATTATCATTTATACTTTAATTGAAAAGAATTTTTAAATCTGGCGTATAAAAAGTTTAAAAAATATTTATTTGAAAAATAATAGATAAAACGATTTTAGAATTCTCTTAAAGGTAACTTTGATCAATTAAATCCGATTAACTTAATCAGCAATTAACTCAATCGACAAAATCACTTTAGACAAAATCTCTAATATACAGTTTATTATTCTTAATCTTTTTTCGATATATATATATAATTAATTGATTTAGTAGTTTTATTCGTATTACTTAATAAAATAATGCTCATTAAATTAATCAGAATTTGATCAGAGTTATTCTAATTTTAATTTCAATTTAATTTTCTTTTTTCTTCTTCTATGTAGTTTTAAAAATTATAAAAAAATTAATCGAGGTTAAAATAAATCTACATTGATAGAAATGAGCCTGAGCAATATAATATGGCACAACAATGTCCTACACATACAAAAAAAAAGATATGTTAAAAAAAAAACTTTTTGTAACATAGAAATTTCTATCAAACATCAGATTCGTTAGGTTTCACTATGTGGCATCGCACACAACTGACTCGCGACTTGCTCCGAAATATCTTTTATAAGTGAGCCTTTCGTTATACGTATAAATCGGGGCCCTCTGACCCCGCGCGTAGGTCATAGACATCGCAACGCGATTGAGTTGAATCCCGCTCAATAATCACGCGAAATGCTTAATCGGGTCGCTGTCGTCCCTCTTCTGACTAATTGTAAGGCATAGTTAATCTCATATCGGATATATGTCATGCG